CCCCAAAACCCCAAAACCCCAAGAGTGGAGCAATTCGTACAATAAAAGTTAAAAGGAAGGAAATTAATACCCATTAATGTAAGAGATAAATTACTTTAAGTATATAGTATGAGAACATGCTTATGGATGGATTGACTCTGACCAAGCTTAATGAAGAAGATCAAGATTTTCTGGAATTATTCACTGAAGTAACTAGTCTTTCACTAAATTCTTGCTCATTAATCAGTTTGGATTACTTGCCGATACTTGCTAAATTAACAAGGCTAGAGCTATAAGATAACAGACTAACTGGAGTAGAAATACCATAAATAGTTGAAGTCTACGGAGATACACTTGAATGTCTCAAGTTATCTAATAATCTAATAAGAGACTTTCAGCTCTTATCTCCCCTTAAAGATATTTCACCAGGTGTTTTGATCAATTTAGATTTGAGTAACAATCCTGTAACAGAGATAGTATGCTATAGAGATCAGGTATTTGAACTTTTGCCAGATCTTGAGATATTAGATGGATTGGACAGGGAAGGAAATGAAATTAATTCTGAGAATGATTAGGAGTGCGAAGAATATGATATAGGAGACAAAGAGGATGGAGGAGCCGTAATGTCTGATGATGAGGATGATGAAAACTCTGATGGACTTGAAGATGAGGGAGGAGAATTAGCCTCAAATGCTAGTGTAGAGGATGATGAGAGCTAAGGAAGTTAGACTTCTGTACCTAAAATAGCAAAAGATAGTTCCTAAAGTAGTGATGGAGGAAGCTGCGATAGCTTGAGCTAAGAAGGAAGCTGTAAATCAGGAGAGGGTTCTCTGGATGAAGAAGACGCAGTTGCCAAGGGTTTCGAGGCATTAGGAGATATTGAAAAAGACTCAGAAAGTAGCGAGGATGAGGAAGAGGAAGAACAAGAGGCAACATAACTGGGAACTGAGCCAAGTACTTTAAGTTCAAAGCAAGTAGGTCGAAAGAGAGTAGTTAAATATGGATTAAGAGGGAAAATTGAGTATTACAAAAAGACAGTAAAAAAATAAAAAATAAAATGATATAAAACTTATTGATAATGTTGAGTTTTTATTTTTCAGTGTATTTAATATTTGAACATTAGCTGGATGGGGTTTTGGGGTTTTGGGGTTTTGGGG